CATGCACTCCACCCTGCAACCCACATAACATCCTACATGCTCTACATCACTTAAACTCTCTCTCCTCCTTCACCCTCGCGCTCTCCGTTTCTCAAATCATCCGCCGTGCCAAGGCAATCCCCTCTCTCTCTCTCTCTCTCTCTCTCTTCTCTCTCCACCAGCAATCTCTTTCACTGCACTCTCCCTTTTTCCTCCTGAACATGGAGGACAAGTGTTATCACCACACTGCAGATGTTTTTTCGAAGGGGGGCTCCTCTGAAACCTCCCACTGGCTGCGGCAGGAAGAAACATCACGCTTTGCCCTGGCATTCAAACTTTTTCCGCAGAAATCCAACCCATTAGGCTTACTGATATCTCGGCCCTGCAAGACTCTGGAGAGGAGCCACGGCTGGATGTGATCGGGATGGCTATGCTAGTATCTCAAACCCTCTAGGTGACACCATACAAACTTATGACACGTGCAAACACACACAGAGGACACTTGCACACATCTGAACCACACAGTCCCGTCCAGGATTCAGCTTTTACAGACACAGGTGGAAGCGGCCATATTTGACCCAAAAGTACTCAAGGCAAACTGCCCCATGAATCCACATCTATGTTTTATCTAACATTCAGTAAGCAAATGATGAAAGGTAAAGTAATCTTCCCTTAAAGCAGCTTTAATCTAACTGCTTTTCTTCTGTTATCCCTTGATTATGTGTAACCTAGAAAGTCTTGGAAGCCAGAGAAATTAACTCATCAAATGCAGTGCATCAGGATACACACGACAGGCTATAGAGATGACTTAAAGTGATGAGCCCTGCAAGCAAACATTATTAAACTCCAAATTGGGAATTACTCCCCTTTCCAACTGAGATGATTAATTTGAAAGATTTCAGAAAGGCCAGAAGACAAGATTGAATCATCTGGATTTTGGCAGAGCTTCCCTGAACCTATCGGGAGGATGCCATGCAAATATGCAATTAATGTCAATTTATTTTCAGCAGAGGATGAACTCCACGCCTGGAGACAAAAACACAAACGTATACTTTCTTCATTTCCATCCCAGACACTATAAACAACTAGCAGCGTAACAGAAAATGAATCCCCAACGCCGAATAACCATCTGAACCGCACAACACGAGGAACTGTTTTATCATTCATTAGTTTGTCACCTCTAACAGCTCAATTGCTAAGGCACATTTACAGCACTCCTTTCCTCCAGTACAGTGTAGCTCTCATTTCACAATGACTCTGCAGGATTTAATCCAGGTCCTGTGTGTGTGCTGCACTTGAAAACCCTGGAAAGGAAGCCAGATAGGGAGAACAGGGGGAAAAACATGTGATACAATAAAACGGTACGTTTTATGCCCACTGGCACACGGATATAGTAGAGAATAGCAAGCACACGGGAATCCATTAGTGGAACCCGATTATCTCTTGCCTCTAAAATTAATTAAGTGAGTGTAGGGCACAGTGTGTGTACGTGTGTGTTTGCATGTGTGTGTGTGTGTGTGTGTGTGTGTGTGAGAGGGGAGAAAGAGAGAGAGAGATCTGGTTGTCCTTATCTTTTTTTCTTGTTTTTTTTAAACAAATCCTCTTGTGTTACTGCATTGAAAGGCAGATGGGGGTGGGAGGTGTATGAATCTGTATGGCTGTATTCCAGCACAAGGCCTGAAATTGCTATTGGTGGGGATGTGGTGGTGGTGGTGGTAGGGGGGGGACTTTGTTTGTGACTCACCATTTTCATTTAATCTTCAGCCAAACTAAAATGTGCTTTCTGTACTTCTACTCTTTCCTTCCCTATTCTCTCCCTCCCATTCCTTCCTTTCCCAGACATCCTGTATTTCCTGAAACCTGTAGATACACTAGGTTTGTTTCTGAGTTTGCCATTACTGTTCTTCTGCAGCCTCTCTGGACTATAGAGCTCAGGCTCAGGTTCACACTGCAGTCATTTATCTTGATAAATACAGGACTGGTTGACTTAAGCTGAGCATACCTGTAGTCCCTAGCCCCCCTTTTATCAAATATGGCGACACACAGGCACAATCATTGTAAGATTGCTTTCTTTAAATCAGATTTTCTTGTGTGGGGGGTTTGTTACAGAAAAAAAAAGAGCTGCAGTCTGCCTTTATGTTCCGTTGATAAATGAGTATTCACAGTATCAGTGTGATCTTACAGAGCAGGCCTGGCTGGTATGACGATATATACCACAGGATTAAATCAATTTGTCAATTGTTAGATATTTTGTTGAACAGTAGTAGTTGCTGTTTCTTTAATATCTCTGATTGTAAAAGACCATTGCAGACAATGATGCAAATAAATGATCATGAATGTTAAATGACAATGTTAGATGTTCTTTTAAATAAATGTTGTGTCTATGTGACAATGTATTTGGATTTGCTAGATTTAGAATTCCCTGTCTTAACCAAGACAATACATTTGAATGAGAATGATTAACTACATCACGATAGGGATAAAACCCTCTTGAGTGGTATATATAAGTTCACATCATAATAAGAAATGAAAAGATTAGTTGATTAAGCAATTAGTCAATCAACAGAGAAATAATTGGCAGCGATTTTTATAATGAAATAGTCATTTAAATAACCTTTTTAAGGCAAAACCTCCAAAGGTTGACTGGTAAAAGTAAAAGTAAAAATAACTACTACTGTATTGTGATTCAGCTGAGAAATTGTCCATGGATAAAATAACGATTTCCTTTTTCTTTTACAAACCCATCAAATTAAATACCTGACAAATCAAAGTGCTTCATCACTTTCATGCAAGACTCTTATACTGCCATAAAGCAGTCCTGCTCATTGATTTGCAACAATGACCTACACGGCTCAAAGGTGTTCAAGGGATAGCTAATGTGGTATAAAGGGCATGGCAAACTCTCTGACAGCTGACAGATTTATATCATCTCACAGTATTATGATACAGTATGTATCAAAGATGAAAGTGCACATATAACCCACATGAAGGCTACTGACACGCAAAACCCAACAAATTGAAATCAACTTCTTCTCATCCATGAATGTCAGACTACATGATACAAGTTTACAATCCGTCCGTGAAGGTGGTGGTTTTTATCATCTGTTCATGCATGACCTTTTGTTCAATGTGTCATTAGCTAAATGCTTTGGTGCTGTAACAGGTAAGTGCTATTGCAGCTCAGATACCTGGGAAGCCATTACTCAACTTGACATATGTGACAACCTGGCATCAATGTGTCAAATCACAACACAGGATGATGCTGAATTTGTATTTCAGTTGAAAAATTACTGAGGCTTTACTAATCCGGAACACTGTCTGGAAATTAAATTTACAAGTGTGATTATATTCTGATCAGACGTTATCCCAATGCACTAACAAATTTAAATATTACACTATGAAAGAGAGATCAAAACAAATTTCTCCAATTCACTGATTTCAGCTGAATGAATGTTGAGTAAATTAAGGGAAGCTGACAGTTTTATTAGGACTAATACCACAGTGTAATCCAGCCAGCCAACCCTCTCACAGCGTAATCTTCAGCATAAACCTTCATGGGCAGGTCTCCTTGTATGAAGCTAAAGCCTGTTCCTCAGTATAGCAGTAATCCCACTAAGGCTCTTAGAGAAGTGAAATTATTTCAGAATGAAAGGAGAGGCTTTATGACTGTTACAGACTCACAGTGGAAGATGGCTAATAAATAAACATCTCACAAATCCTCTTACTGGGGAGACTCAACCAACACACAGAGTGATATATTTTAGCTGAGATAGTACATCCGGAGCAGGTTCATTCGTTCATTTCCAGGTGGAAAAGTACGTTTGACCTGAGCCACAGCTCCAGCTGGGACATCATGACTCATCCTCCCTCCTCCCCCTTCCTCCCCCCTCCACATGCACCTCCAACACCACCCCTGCTGCTACACCACAAAACGCCCCACGCTCCAACCAGAATTCATGCCTGAGTTCTATAACAGGGGGGAGGAAGATGATGGATGACTGAAAAGTTATTGAGAAATAAAGGTTGAGTCCATCAAACTGTATGTCTGCTGGAAGTCGTGATGAGAGAGGAGGGAAGGTGGGAGCAGCTGGTGGCCCATTGATCTGCCGCTCTGTACAACAGACTTTCACCATCTCCTCTCTACCTATTGATAGAGACAGATGCCAATAGGGTGACCCCGTATCTCTCATCTGTACACTCTGTATCACACTCACGCACTGCATGTCCAATGATTTATCAAAGTCATGCCCTCTTGGATGAACAGTTTATTCACACATGCATTTTCAAGGCCACACATTTAAAAACAGGTATAGGGAAGAAGACTATTTAATAATAGTGGGAAATGACTCTACCCTGTGAGAAACTGGGAGTTTTCTAATCTATTCACTGTTCTTTCACGAAGACCAAATGTACAACAGAGCAGCAATTGAATATGCATGACTCCATCCTGCTCAAGAGCTGCACCACTCCTCTAAAAAAGGACGGATGCAAGCTGATTTCTTTCTCTGACAAGGCCAGATGGGATGCAACGAGATGGGATCTGATGTCCATCCTTCAACAGATTAAAAAAAACAAAAAACAAAGGCCTATGGAACATTTTTCATACAGGCCCAGACTTGACGCAGCGAGCCTAATATACTGTAAAAGCACATCTTTATGAAGCCTCTTATATGTATGCACTGCGAGTGTGAGCTTCCATTCGTATCTCATCACAGCATTTGCATCGCAAATCCTTTTTCCCCATCACGGAGATTTTTTCTTTTTTTGTGGACGCTGTGTGTCATTACTCTTGTTGACATAGGACGGTGCTCGAGGATGCATTTACAAATTAAAACCTGCCCCAGATAAGGGTGCGTGTCAGCAATATGGAGATAGAGGCAACTGTATGCGTGGCATGTGTAACGTCGACATGAAGTAAAATACAGCCTTTTGTCCAAGAATCAACCTCGACACTCAGCCTGAAAGACAGTACAATTGCAATGCGCCATCGTTAGGAATGATCAAGATTGTGTTGCTCTTACCTCGACGTTTTCCCACACGCAGCAGGACAATACAGCCATCAATATAGGTATTGCGGTATGTCCCATTTTCTTTTCTTTTTTTAGCCTTCTTTCCTCTTTTTATGACAAAGTTGCTATTGTAAAATAAACTGACTCCAACATAAGCTGTCTGGTTACATCAGCTGAAGTGATGGGCACTGCGCGTTCGTCGGAGCCCTCCTGCGATATCTCCTGCGTCTGCGTCCTGCCGACGGGCTCTCCAATGGCAGCCTGGGATTTTCTGTGGATGAAGTCTGACAGAACCAAGCCCTGTTTCTGCGGGTATTTATCACTGACTTTACTCATGGCGACCTCGCTGTGGCTTAGTGAACAGAGACATCTGGTGGTGAGGGGCTGAGCATGCAGGCTCGCCTGCTGATTTTTCCGCGTCAGTTAAAAGGGGGAATCCACCCGAAAATATATAGTTCTCATTATTAAGCTGTTTTATTTTAAATAGGTGTGTCCTTAAGCTCAGCAGCACACACACTGACTGTATGGTGATGTAATCAAAGAGAACAAATCCTGGAGCTGTGCCAGAATGAAACTGTAAGGTCTTTCCCACACAACTTTAAGGGTTTAAATTCTTAAAACTACACATACTCCTTCACATCACACTATCTGACCACGATTAGCAACTAGATGTTATAAAACCAATTGTGTCTGATTCTGTGTAAGTGGCCTACATTAAGAACAATTAAAAAAAACAACTGATCAGACTCATAGGTAGGCAACTCAAGTTAAACTCAGAACTTATGGCAGGGCTGTAGAGTGCAGATATTAGAGATATTAGAGAGTTTTAGATATTAGTGTATATTCATTTATATTTTTTGTCATTTTCTTGTGACATGCTGGATACCTGAAACCTCTCAAAATACTTAAAATTAAACAATCTGAGAAGTAGAAATCTGTTTTTAGTTGGGCTGCGCACAACTTGTGTCCACGCCAAATCTGGGATGAGGAGTTCACAAGCCAAAAAGGTTGAACAGCACTGTTAGCAAAAGAACACACACACACACACACACACACACACACACACACTGAGTGAAGAATAGTAACTCTTCTTCTGCAATCCGATGAAGCAGCCATTCATTAAATACAGTCTTTCTGAAATATGAATAGAGAGGTGTTGACTTCACTCTCATTTCTGGGACTGTATTTTATGGTGCTGATGCCGCATTACATTAAATGGTGTTCATAATATATTTTTCCATTTAGCAGAGTGGACAATCTATAAACAACAAAACGAATAGCCTACAGAACTGTACCCTACTCTCATTATTAGAGCACTGAGGAACAACTCAATCAGTAAATGAATAGAAATGTGAAATAGCTAAATACTGTAAAGCACCCCTGTAAATGTAAAGCATCAGGGCATTTACTTCATTATTTTGTTTTGTGCAATCCTTATGTTGATTATAATGTATCTATGAACTAATACAGTAAACACTTCACACAAATACAGGCAACATGTTTGAATTTGTGACGCATGTTTTCCCCATTTACCGTGCCTAAATGCTCTACTTGTTTTTTCTTTTTTTTTTTTTATGATTCATCTTGGCAGCAACATCCACAAATGGTCACCAGGGGGAACACACGGTATGAAAATGAAAAAAACAACTTCCACTCGCCTGCAAGTCACCCAAACGGAGGAGCAGCAGGTGGCTGAATAAAACGTTTATCCTTTCCATGTCAGCTGGTAGCCTGTTTGTTGTGTTGCGGCTTACTATTTATGTAAGGATAGTGTGATGAGAAGCATGATTATACCCGAGACTCTCTAAAAACGGTATTTCACCCGTGGGCAGTTAACGTCATGCGTCACAGTGTGCTGCGCGCACTTTGGATGAGCTAGTTGTTGACGCACCGTTTGGTACGTTGAGTACTCGAGTTCGTTGCTGGCTTGATTGCCTGCTTATGGTCCTTGTGTGTAAAAAAAAAAAAAAAACCTCTCCAAAGTCTAAACTTAAAGTTGGATATAGCCTACCAGTTCAATTATCTCTTAAATTACAACAAACAAAACAACCGCCGACCTGGGCACACCTTATACCTCGCTCTGCGCCACACCTGTACCAATTAGTCTGCACCTTTAATAGAGCTGGGGCCACCCACAGCGCCATCTAGAGTTGAAACATAGAAAATGGCTGCAGCACTGGTAAAACCTAGTTAGTAAAAACTCGTCAAAAGTGATCTTTAACCCCAATATTAAACCTACAGACTAGAGACTTCACGCCTACGGTCTCTATTTATATATACATGCATCCGTAAATATATATAAGGATATAGCATGTTATTTGTACACCCCTTGAAGGAAAATTATGGGGGATATACCACAGACCAAGTGGAACTCATAGAATACATTTCTGATGTTTTTTCTTTTTAAATGTCAAATATTTGTTTTGTGACATATAAGTCACAATGGGCGTTTTTGGTAAATAAATACTCTATTAATACCTTAATAATTTGACATTATTTTTTGTTTATATTTCTTCAAATATACTTTAAATTGAACAACAGGGCATATGTTAATTCTAAATAGTTGAAACAGTGAAATTAATTGAGGGGCTTATTACCTTCTTTGTTATTATGACACAGACGTCACATCAGATTTTCCATGACAACTTTACGGTTAAAAGCCCGATGCGACGTCACAGCAACATTTTCGTAACTTGTTTTATATTATTTTGTGCAGGAAATATGGTCAGAACAGATTAAATGCAATACAGGACATACTATTAAAGCATTAGAACTGTTAAATGGGTTGAAACTTACGTTAGTAACAAAAACAAGCTTTTTTTAATTTAGCCATTTCCTTCATTTCCTTCATTTCTGTCATTTCTGTCATTTCAGTCACACCCACATTTTGGAGGGGACACTTTGCTGTCACAGTCACATGATTGTAATATGACCACCACACCAGGATGTTTTGTAGATATCACTTAGGGACTTAATGAGTTAGGGTCAAGCATAAAGCTGTATATGGAAGATTCAAGAACATTGAAAGTGTTTGTGACACACGTGTCACCATGGGTTCTTATGGGTTAAATGCAGCCGCTGGTATTTGGGGCGTGGTCTCTGCCACAGGTGTGTGAGGAAGAGAGGTTGTCTCAGGTGTGTCAGCATTCTCTGTGCTCGCGACGACACAGGAAGAGCCACTGACGTTTAACGACCGTAAATATAGTCTTTTTTTAACATTTACTAATTTACGGATTCCTAACTTTGCAACACTTGGGAAAAGGACCAACTTATCGAAGCACAAACGGGGAGTTGTGTTGGATCTTTTTTTTTTGGAGGATGTATTCCGCCAGATATGAATACGACGTAAGTTTGGGTCAACTTTTCGTCACGAACACACATACAGTTTTAACCACACACCCAAAGTTTGTTTGCTTGGGGCCTAGATGCCTGCCAGTCTGTTGTCTTTAGGAGTTATGTGTATGTTTATACATTTTGGGCTAATTATGGTAACAGACATTTTAAACCCTTGCACCTTTGGCTTTTGACAGGGTTTCTGTATATGTTCATCGAAGTGTTTCTGGGCCTGTCATCTCCTATCAACACTGACACAACAATGGAGTTTTCCCTCTATTATTGATGTTTAAATAAAAGATTAAACTACTTGAGTAGCGATCAAAATGTCCTCCGTGGTGTTTGTTGGCAGTGTTTATTTACACATAGCAGAAAATAAATAGGCCATTCAATAAATAATATCATACTCTAAATTGAATATGAAATAATGGTTGGAAATTTGGGAATTAAGTCATCCATGCTGCAGAATCCCTTTTTTCCCCCACTCTCCATTTCCAAGTTATGCTTCATCTCTTTTACATGTTCAATTCCTTACAAAACAAAGTTATTTCTTTCAGTCACAAAGGTTATGTGAAGTCAGATGAAATAAGGAAAAATGGGGTCATCAGACTTTGATGCTATTTGCTGATTGCACATTGATGTTTACCTTTTTAAAAGATAATTGTTCATTTTCAGTTGGGGTTCCTTTATAGAGAAAAGATTCTGCAAGTTTTGTGAATTGTTTTTGTAATGACCATTCATCTCGGAGCTGTTGGGCTGATATCGGTTCCCCCATGCAGAAAGTGGGATAGATGCCTAAAGCTCAGTCAGACCTGTGAGTCAGACATGCTGCTGTTGTACATTCAGTCCTAATAGTTGCTATTTTACATTACTTGTTTTGTTTATGGTTTTTCTTTTTTTGTTAGATGTGTTTCCTTTTTAAATTGGGTTGAATGTGCTTCACCTACATTTACTTACCTATATTAACTGTAAAGTTCCTCAAACTGAGGTAGTTTTAGTCAGACAGTTTTCTTAGAGCCAATCGGTGTGTTTCTAAGAATCCGCATGGGCCCTCATTTCATTGTATTCTAACACAAAGGTGTGGTGTGGTTATCAGTAGCACAGCTGCCAGCAGTCACATTCACATCTTTAACACCCTAATTCCCACTGGCTGTAGTTGTTGAATACATCAACAATAACTACAGTATATTTCTGTGCGAAACACTGATTGAATAGCAAATGTCAGGAATGTAATGGTATATAATTGTTTTTAGGCAATAAAGGCCATAAACAAGTTCCCACGGTGATTTTAGATCAGACAGCCTGTTTTAAAATCACAATAAACCATTGCTGTTTAATATTTAAGGCTTTTGTTTTAAATGATAATAGGATGCAAAAACTGCCGAAAGCTTATTTAGCCTAACCTATAGGTCAAATTCTCCTGGAGCATGAATACATTATGTAAATATCTATCATACAGTTCTTGTTACTACATAATGCAGTCTTGTTTGAGATGAATGAAATGCCAGTAGAGGATGTGGGCAGAAAATAGTGTCAGGTGGCCAAAGGTGAACTTCACTCAGCAAAGGGACTCATTAATGGTTACAAGACTTTGGTCAGTGCTGCTGAAATTCACCAGCTCTCTAGCACCTTTATTTGACAGCTTCATGAAAACGGTCCTAACCCCTGGGGAAATACACTCTGTAGTGTACCAGAGTGTGTTCTGCTAGTAAGAATGTGAGCAAACAGCAACAGGATTCTGGCAAAATAAACACTTTCTTTCTAAATATAGTGTGACATTAACAAGGACTTAAAAACAGCAGCTTGTTATCAAAGTATCCATGTTCCAGCTCAGAGATGACACACACACACACATACATATCATATCTGTAAGTTAAGTCGAGAGGTGAAAGTATGTAATCTGGATTTGTATGTCTCTTTTGAGAGGTTTCAAATTAATTTGCAGCGTCACAGTATGCTTGAACTTAGTTGAATTGCTTTTGCATTTTTTTCTGTGGTATGCTGTGATAAAGTACCTGACCTAACTAACCCAAAACCTCAATCACAGATGTACTGTACATACACTAGGGCAGAACAGGATAAGCATGGGTATCTTATAAATATTTTTTGATTTACACTGGAAAAAAAACGTAACTAAACTAGACCACTTACCAAAGTTGTCATGGCACAGCTCTGCCTTTTTGATTCTGAAACATGATAGAGATGGCATAAGCGGCATGAGTGAAACTGTTAGTAAATGAACATTTCTTCCTTTGTTAATATTTGATCACTCACAGACAATGAGGTCAGTCACTGAAACTGGATCAAATGGGAATACTATGATTAATGTAGCTAGCTTGTCCTCTGCTTATGTGGTGACTCAGTGGCACAAGTAAATAATTCTTCAGGCAAGGCCATACTGCTTTTGTATTGCATTTCAGGCCCAATTTCAAGGGCAGCCATGTTGAGACTGAGCAATAGAAGTGAAGTGAATGTTGTGTTAATGTCAAGTATTTTATTATTGACTCCACTGAATGATACATTCAACTGAACAGCTGACAAAACGGAGGACAAGTTCAATCTTTAATAACTTTGTTCAGTTATATTCAGTTTCACCCAGCCTTTGTTCGCCCTTTTATCCGGGCTTTCCAGTGAGGTGGTAGTATGCCAGGAGGCTGGTAGCACCACTCCTTCACACACACAGCCACTTGGCTGATGCTGCAGTATGAGAAACTGCTAAATGTCTGCTTAGGGCTACTGTCAGGTAGGAGATGTGTGTAGGTGTTTGTTCACTGAAAGTAAATATGAGGCCACTGAAGCCTAAATTGCATTGATTGTCTGTCGTATTTGATTGGTCCTTTTTTGGTTGCAGGCTCTGGGCTGGTTTGTTTGGATTAGACAGATCAGTGGGTGTGTGTGTGTGGAGAAGGCACATGAGAGCGTTTTCTAAATGGGAACTTCACAGATTTTACACATCAGAGTCTGTTTACAGGTCTTGGGGAGTTTTTCTGCATATGTGAAAAAGATGTATAAAGCTTTTTTGTGGCTCCAGAGGGAGCTGAGTGAAATCTGATCTATTGCCTAAAGTGATGTTGCTTGAGGCAACGTCAGTTGGGGCTACAAGTTTTGAAATGACAAAAATCTGGGGGTGTGGAGTTAGCAAGAAGTGAGTTTACCAGGCCTCTGCAGCCTGCTTATCATCTCTGCTTGAGGCCAGTAACTTGAGACTACATTAGCCACTACAAGCATAACACACCCAAATCTGTTAGTGACAGCGTTGCATTGTGGGTAATGTAGGCACCAGGCCTTGACAAGGAAGAAGAATGCATGGAATAAACTAAATGATTTATCTGGTTCTGGTAAATCAATCAGTTTTTTTTAACTGTCCATCACAAGTTTGATGCCGTTATGGGGGTGCAATGCTAAGTGGGTGGAGTATTCTTTAAAGTTCTACCCCAGAGCTGACTGTTTGGCCACTGATAGGTTGTGCTGTGTGCCACTGTGAAACTCTAACACTGCAGCAGGTACAGCTCTATTCACTGTGGAACCACAAACACATTGTGGAACTAAGTTCAATAGAAGACAAGATAGCACAGAAGCTGGTCTCCATGTACATATATAAATGTTTGGGCTGCAGTTGTTACTGTACGTGCATCCATATTTTTTAAACTGATACAAAATAGATATAGTCAACTAGAAAGAACATTCGGGGTTACTGAATTAATGGTGCTGTTGCTTCTGCCTTCAGGGAGGGCAGGACCTGACTGACTTGTTGTTAAAAAGGGCCAGTATTTAAATTCAGTAGCAGATCTGCTTGAAGGTGACCTGCTATTTTTTTCTTAAACCACACCTCGTAGCAGTTTTAACTTGTTTCCTACTTGTCAAACTAGTTAGACCACTTCTGTAGAAATACTCTGTAGCAACCAACCGCAGAATCATCCCTCTCTCTGTATTTTTATCAGCAATCTTGAGGGGACCAAACCTGCAGCCTGATTTGGAGAGACTGTCTTGTCAAACATCAACCCGTTTGCATGTTTTTTTCAGGGCTGAAAGACAGGCCGCTCTACTTCCCGTTTAATAATGACATAGCACGCTGAGCTGGTATTTAAAAAAAACACTACACATGGTTCAAAAAGGGTATAGTATTTCTTTCTAGGAGTGAAGAATGGGATATGATGAAGAGCATGTAATGGTTTTATTAGGCTGTGATCAGGGTGACTGAGACCCTGTAGCACTTGCTGACCCCATCTCTAATGATTCCCCTCATTCTGGCCCAAGATTGCTGTTAGAGATTCCAATTAGAAAGCATGTGTGGAAGCCAGAGCCGGGTAAGAATAGGCGTTAATTGCTGTGAGTTATCATCTAGACTCATGTAATTGAGCCCCCATCTTAAGGGGCAGCACATCTGACAAATTGATTTAATACCAAAGTGATTCTCCATCCCTAATGGCACTCGGGCTTCTTCACTCATGGGCTACAGGCACTGAATTCATTGTGTGTTGATTACTAACCGACCTGAAACCTTTCTTTCAGTCCGCCCACTTGAGCTGAAAAACAGACACACATACAGTATCAACAGACACGCACAGCCTAAAGCATCGTGCCCATAATCTCTACAAGGTATCCCTCAGTTATTATGCAATCTCTGAGTGCATGTGTGTGTACATGAAGGTATTAGTGTGGGAGCTCTGTCACATTTACTTTAACAGGTTTTGCCAGTTTTGCAAATGTACAGTATGCATTCTGCCTGTTTGAACGTGTCAGTCTTGGAGAGTAGTTCAAGGCACTGCACATCGCATTTTCTTTTCAATATTGTGTCACAGATATTCAGAAGCAAACATTTTCTTGTTTGTTTTATGCTCTCTTGCAAATAATCTGTTCCTCGAGTACAGACTTCCACAGTCTGTCTTCCTCGATTACACTGAGCCTGTTAATAGCAACAGGTCAAAGATATTTCCCTACTAAAAATGTTATGTAGACGTTGATCAAATTCTCAGTATGATGGACAGTGATGCATTTATCATATCTTTAATGGGAGTTGTGTGTTTAAGTTGTTGTTTCTCTAATTCCAGTGATAGATAATCTCATCTCTGTCGCATTCCAAAGTTCTATTTATATATTCAGTGGGGACCTCATCTGGTTATAAAGAAGACAACGGCATGTGGCATTATTATCCTATAATTTAGCAATCAATTAAACAAATCTCTTTTACGTTTGCATATAACCAAACAAGATTTCCAACTAACTACCCTGTATTATTCTCCTTATTCTACGTGGACTGAGGAGAAAATGTGTTTCATTCAGTAAAAAAATTTTAACAACCCAGTCCTTGTGGGATAATTTGGGTATTGTATTTTAAGGTGTTTGCACATCTGCCATTGTTCAGTGTAATTAAAGTGAATGTTATCTTATCAAGAACATGGTATACTTGCTGTATGTTTGATGACTATGTTTTGCCTTTTCTGCATCAGGGCCATAATGGCCGTCATGAGCGGATCGACTTCCTCAGCAGCAAAGAGAAGGCACCATCAAAGCGGAAGATGGGCATCGTGATAGGGGCTCTTGTGGCGTTTCTCATCGTTGCTGCTGTTGCAGCGTTCCTCATTTGGCTGTTTGTCTGTGAGTATAGTTGAAAGCTTTCCTCTACTATATCATCCATGGTAGAGGCTTGAAGTGGGGTACTATGGTTTTATACGTTTGGGTTATTTAAAGCTAAAGAAAGTAGATGCTAAGATGTTGGACATTCTCTGGACATTTTTGTACATAAATCAAAGTTGCTCTTGATAAGATTTAATGAGAAAGTGGATTTACATTCTAAACATCAGTTACAGCCACAACGGGCATAACATCAGAAAGTGGATCATTTCCACTTGATGTTAAGGCACAACTCTTTGATATAAGAGTGTAAGATTGGCTTGTTTGGACTTTGTAATTTCCCATTAGTGTTAGCCTATTTGACAGCTCCAACTTTTCCTTCCATTCCTTTTAATAATGCAAAGGAGAAAAATGTCACGGAGCCCATGGCACAGCTTCCTTGTCATTTACACATACATCTGATAAAAAGGCCTCTGAAGTCTTGATAAACAGCCTCTTGATTCAACTGGCTGTTTTAATTGCTCTGAGAGGAAAACTGTCTTCTCTGGATTAGATCACACTGTACAACTTTAAAATAGTGCTTCAAGGCCTGTTTAAAACCCAAGCCTCCTCTTTCATCAAAGGCAGCCTATCTTATAGCATTTTGTTGATCAAACACTCTCATCTGCCTTTCTCCTTCAAGTTAAAGATGCTGATTCAGGAGCCACACTTAGTAAGCAGCTCAAGCCATCAACACAGGTCTTCAGCGGGCATATGAAGTTGGCTGATGCATCTTATAACCAGGAGCTGGAGGATACCACAAGCAATGAATTTAAGGTTTTGTCAGACAACCTGGAGGCAATTGTGAGTTTCACACCCTAAGAAAATGAAATGATTTTTCTAGTTTTGTTCTCTTTCTATGATCTCTTTTTCTATCATTATTGTGAACTATTTTGAGTAGAGTATTATGTTCAGTTCCCTCCTCTCACTGAGGATTAGTTGTGGATGTTGTTTTGCATCGTGGAAATGCTTTTTTCTTTTTTTAAATGCCCCTCCCAATACACAGTAACTGCTGAAGGCACATTTGCGGGGGCGGAATAAAAGGCTGTACATTCCCTTAGTAATTCCCTCAACAGCATCTCCTATTATTGGAGTCAGTGGAGATGTTTGTAGTACCACTTAGCAGTGTGTTGATAGCAAAAAAAACCTCGCTCAAACCCCATCAAGCAGACACTTTCTCATGAAAAGCTACAGAAGAGAGGGTGTTAGGCAAGGATTACAGTGGAAGTGGTGGACTGGAATATAAGATGACTGGCTGATTTTTTTTTTTTTGGGGGGCTTTTTAAATGTACTAGGTTTGCAGTTGCATACAACAAAAAAGACTGCTTTTGAGGAAAAGATCTAGGTTCCCGTTTACACGCCAGATAAAACAAAATATTTTATGTCCGCCATGTCTCCTAGATGGGTTTAGTACAGTGGTGGTTCTCGTGCCCTCCTTCAGATGGACAAGTTCACACCCCACACCAACCCCTAATTTTTGTAAAACATTCAAACATTAACATTGCAGCTAATAAAAAAGGTTACAAGTTGGATTGAAATGAAATATAGGTAGCACAATAACAATTTCCCCTGCATAAATCATATTCATTTAACCTATATTTTTCCTCTGGCCAGCCATGTCACACCTGCAGTGAATCTTTGCCCCACCAGTGGGGCCCACCCCACAGTTTGAGAACCACTGGTTTAGTAAAATGAAAGTTGGTTCATATTTAATGTTGCTGAAATGGTCATTTGGTAACTGCTTCTTATATTTTATTTAATGAAAATGGACCACTTTGTTCTGTGAAAAATCTTTCCTCTTCCTCCTTTATCTCTAACCATACATCCTTTGCAGCTGGTTCTTTTCCCATTTTGTTGTTACTTTTTCACATCAAGCACTTTCTCTAAAGTTAGATAACCGTACATGCATAAAATATGGTGGTGACCTGCATTTTAAGACCACAGCGTATGACTGCATCTCTGTCTGGTACAGTTTGCAGCTCACTGAAGGCAAGACCTATTATTGACAATCCCATTGTTCTGTGCTTTTCAAGGAAAGTCATTTTTATGTTAACATGCTAATTTGTACTTTGTCTTCAGGCAGACAAGCGGAAATCTTTTTCATGTTCTTTTTTGTTAAAAAAAAAAACATCTTCTCTACACAGCTTGCGGAAAGCTACAAGAAAGATCCATTCCTTGCAAAATACTACACTACTTCTGTGGTCACTGCATTCAGGTATTGAGCTCCTCTTATTTTTTTATGCTGCTGAACAGATTGTGAAAATTTAATGTAAAAAAAAGAAACTTCAAACTAAATCTTGTATGAATAAAAGGTTTTGTTGTATTGACCTCTGTGGGCTCAGGTCTGTAAAATTTCTAACAACCAAAAGGTTAGATGTGGTCTTTTGAGTTGTGTCCACTCCCAGTTATGTGTAGTTGTGTGCTTTGCACTGTAGTAGATTGTGAAGTTCTGTACTAACAGTAGCAGTAAATCACAACGGTTCACAGCCTTTTGGCAGACTTGGACAGAGGATGCAGCTACTGCTAGATTTAGCTTTTGTTATTTACGGTCATCAAAATCACCCACGTTCCACTCATCTTTTCTTCTTCTTGAATGTTAATGCTTTTTACTGAATGGTCTCTTTATGCTCTTCCTTCCATCCGTTTCTTTCTTTTTGATTTCTGTTTGCACCAGTGAGGGTGTGATAGCCTACTACTGGTCCCAGTTTGATATTCCAGTCGAAGACCTGGAGATTGAGCCGGAGTTCTCAGAGGAGCGGGTGCTGGAGACACTGGAGAATGGCATTAAGCAGCAGCGCATCATTAAGACAAATATCAAGATCAGGGAAATCACTTCCTCATGTAGGTACCACCAGGGGCCAGGTGGGGCGGAGAGGGGTCTCACCGTGGGGGAAGAAATATAGGGACAACTGGGTGTTTTCTACAGCTCTGTCCAGATTATGACATTTAACAGTATCAGATAAAAATAAAGCACTGTGACTACAGATCTGAATATGGTCATTGTCATGTCCTATCAGCATTGGTATTCTGTATGCTTTCTATTTGTATTATAGGAGCTCGCTCTGAGTTGTGCTGATAAGATGATAACAGATAAGCCAGACCTCTCTGCTTGTGCTGCATCTGAGATTGCACATTTTATGCTGTTTGGATCCTCTAATGATATTAGCTGAGCCCTGGCCTGGCTTGAGACAGCCATTTTTCTTCCTTCTGTCTTCTCAGCATTCACATTGCATTTGTCCACATCCTGGACACCAGCCAAGCGCTGGCCCTGTGACTCAGTGGTTTTGGTCCTCTTTAAAATGATTTCTGTGGGTATGATTTGATGTTGCTGTCCCAGATAGTTAGACAGAGATGTATGGGTTGCTGCTGTAGGGCAAGGTGAGATGGAGCCGAAAGAGCTACACACCATCACCAGTTTCCTTAACCGCAGGGAAATGGAACAGAAAATGTGCAACCCAAATATTTTAGGCTCATGCATCAAATTCTATCAGCATCCCAATGTTAGTGACCCATTCTTACCTTTCCTCCTGTTTCTCTGACACTCTCTCTTCCCCCCCCCCCCCTCCCTCTCTGTCTCCAGTCACAGATCCTCGCATGGCCAGGAACCCCAAATCCAGTGAGTACAGCGTGTCCCATTTCAATCACTCGCAGTTGTAATTTTCCAGCTGGCTAGATGCTCACCCTCCTGCCAGTCTGTAACGAATGACTGGCCTGGCCTGTACTGTACATGTGCTGCTCTAGTCAGAGATTGAGAACCCTGTATCAGACCAGAGCGAGTCAGTCTCTATGCCCGACACTTTTCTTTGACACTGTCTGGTGATTTATAACCTTGGGATGATTAGACTGCATTACATTACATTACCATAGTAGCTGTACTATCCTTACATTAATCTGTCTTTTCTATAAAGGAACTTGTGATTACATAGTGTTCAAATGTGTAATTCGTAATGCATGTCATTACTTTGCATCATTAAGAACTGATTCCAAGGAAAATCAGATAAGATCTTTACTGATTTCTTAATTTTTTTTTAAAGAAAATGGTCTCAGTTTTTCAAATGAAGATTAGATTCTTATTTACAACCAATAAATTAACTGTTGCCAAATCACACATGTGCATGGTCACTGTATGATACAACAAGTGCTGTTTTTCATAGATGAATGTTTCTTCCGTCTGGAGGCTGACGAAAAGGAGCAAAAATTTGAGTCACCAGGATACCCCACAGCCTACCCCCCCAGGTCTCGGTGTCAGTGGCAAATTAGAGCTTCAGTGGAAAATGTCATATCTGTCGCTTTCCCCTTTTTCCAAATCGAGGATGACTGCTCGGATGACTTTGTCTTCATCTATGACTCTTTGAGTGCAGATGATTCTCAAGCCATCACAAAGTAAGTTATAGGGCTGAATGTCCAGAGGGTTTTGGAAACATGTTTGCGATGGTACAAGGTCATACTGATGCTCTTCAAAAGTTAAATCTCTACGGATGGATCAGGGCTTACTATCATACTATTTCGTTGCAGCATGCTGTGCAGTATTCCCTTTACTGATGTCTCCTCCAGAGAGGAATTTTATTTAAAATAAATCCAGTAAATTGACTCATTTTTGCTTCCACAGTACATCAAATTGTGACACAAATCACATTCTCTTTTTGCCTTAAACCTTCATGGCAGGGTTTGTTTGATTGGGCTCAATCAACATTTGTCTCATTTATTTAGCCTCGAAGATCAGAGAGAGGGGAAATATAGTTCTACATGATTCCCAGAGGACACCACTAGGAATCACTTTGTATTTGAGTGAAATGTTGCAGAGGGATTTGGGAGTAAAAGCTGTTTTGATGTGGGTGGAAAACATGTTCCACTTCATTCCTTTCACTGGATTTGTGATTACAACTTTTTTTTTGGCCCTGAAGCCTTTAGCGCTGCATGTCCCATTTTATTGTTAACTTTTGAGACCTCAGTGAGATTGAGTTGGCTCAAAAAGACCTCTCCTTTCAAATCTGTGATGGGTGCCAACCTGAATCCTGCTACACCACTGTGTGTAATTGCACTTTGTCTATGGGGGAGGGCTATGATTCTAAAACTACCAGCTCCTGAATGCAACATCAGTTGTAGCTACAGGCAATTTCAAACTCAGAAACCATTGCCAAACAAATATGCGTTACCAAGCGATGCATAAAATTTTTATAAAGCTATTGAGCGATCAGCTTTATCCAAGGTGACATGGGGTTTATGAGAGCCATAATATAATACTCTATAATGACATTATTCTACTGGAGGTAGATGTATTGCTGCTCTTGCAGCGTCATTCACACCTCCATTGCTCTGCCGCCAGCAGTGCTGAAACTTTTTGCTAATGTACCTAATGTTTGACTTTGAAACTCTGCCTAAGCCATTTCTATCTAGTGCTGGCACATCTCTCCTTATTTATCTCTTTCTCTACCTCTCTCTGCTTATCTATTGATTTCTTTTCAAATAATTTTTTTCTCGAAGCATTTTAAACTTGTTTGCTGAATTGACATTTTAGTGCTTCTGACTAAAAAGAATTACAGCTTTATTTGAGTTCCCTAAGTGTTGCACATCCTAAGGATAAGCAAAACTCCATTCAGTAAATGCATCAGACATTCATCTTTTGTATCATAGTTGTGTTTACTACATTTTGTTGCCAACACCTTTTTCTGATTCTGTAATCGAACCTGATTTATGTGCCCATCCTTCTCTTGCAGCAAATGTGGTCAGAGGCCCCCCTCGAACCCTCTGCAGGTTGTGTCATCTGGCAACATCATGCTGATTAACTTGATTACTGACAGTGACACCCAGAAGCCTGGCTTTGCAGCCGTGTATAAGGCCATCCCCAACTCTGAAGGTAATTAAGACATACACATAAGATACACATAAGCATCATCAGTATTCCAGCTGCATTCTGAAGTAAATCTAGAGCGGTTCACCTAGATTTGTTAACTGCTGTTTGTACTTAAACGTAATGATAATGTGTGACGCACAAATGTGAAAATATTACGTTTTCTTTTGTTTGTTTTTTTCAGCTAAAAAGTGTGGCGGCGTCCTCTCTGAAAGCGCAGGAGTCTTCACCTCCCCACTTCACCCCAGCTTCTATCCCCCTGCCGTGGACTGCGAGTGGACCATCAAGGTTTGCAACACTACTCCTCTCCCTGGTCCCCTCCTCTACCTGAAACCCCTCTACCCACCTCCTCCTCCTCCTCCTCCTCCTCCTCCTCCTCCTCCATCCTCGGCTTGCCATGAGAGGAATGCTGAGGCAGCATTATAGAAGCCAAGCTGTTCAGTACCTCTTCTATCTTCATCTGTCAGACCGCTGTTGCTGCTGCAGCCCTAGCTGGGCTGCAGTTTTTTGTGTGTTGGTTTTGTTTGCTGGTGTGTATGTAGTGTGTGCGTGTGCGCACATGCGGGTGTGTTGCAGCTTGTCTGCTTGCGTTTACTGTACATAAGATACAGATGCATGCCTTTGTGTGTATGTGGAGAAGTGACATGCATGGTAAATAGGGTTGTTATGACCCAATCGCCTCTTCCTCTGTTCTGTAGGTCCCTAAAGGACAGAAGGTGCGGGTGAAGTTCACCATGTTCCGCATGAAAGAGCCCATGGTGGACATCCGCGTGTGTCACAAAGACTATGTGGAGGTTATGGACACCAAGTAAGACATAATTCATTCATTTAATTCATTCAAATGACAGCCTAAACTGTCGGTCATAAACAACCATCACAGTTTACAGACCGACTTCTTGGTTAAACTTTGACCCACTGTGTTGTGTACAGTTTTTGTGCAGACAGTTTTGCTGTGCAGTTACTTACATTTAAAGATCCCGTGTGTAGGATTTAGTGGCATCTAGCGGCGTAGTTGCAGATTGCAACTCACTCGCTTCAACCTCCCTTTCAAGGGAGTACAAGGGAGAAACTATGCAGCCATCCAGTGCAAAAAACACCAGCCAGCCAGTACCTTGAACCAGTTTTTGGTTTGGCCCTTCTGGGCTACTGTAGAAACATGGCGGTTTAAAATTGTGGCTTCCACTGAAGGGTTATTTTCACACTATTGAAAACCTATGAATATTGTATTCCATTTGTGCCAATAGATCCTCCTAAATGTTACACACTGGACCTTTTTAAGGTTCTCTCACTTTCAGTTTTACCTCCAAATAAAATCTGTTGGACAATCTAAACAGTTTACAGTTGTTTACAATTTGTCTGACGACTCTTTCTTCTCCCGTTGAACATTTTTGTAGCAATGTTGCCCTTTTCTCTAATATCAGCAACTTAGTCAGCATATTGAAAAAGAAAAGCAAAATAAACATTGGTCTTGTGTCATAGGTATTGTGGAGAACTGTCTTCTTTGGCTCTGACCAGTGACACCAACGTCCTAAACGTGAACTTCCACTCTGATGAGTCCTACACCGATAAAGGCTTCAGTGCCGAGTACATTGCCTATGATCCTAAAGACCGTGAGTTAAGTCTTGTTTCACACCCACATATACACAACATTTGATGAGATGGGTGAAATGTTGCGACTTGACAGTGACACTCATCGCCTGCCAATATAGAACAAGACGCTGGGAGTAACTGTGGAGTCTGAGAGGCAACGAGACGGTAGCTGAATGACAGTCAAATAGAGCTGTTTAGTGATAGAGGCTTAGAAACTGCAGCAGTGAAACTCAAGAGCTAGACTAATCACCAGAGAGCTTGTTTATTGGGTCCATTTTATTTGCCACTGTCAGTCAGGAGCACTCCACTTTCAATACTCTCTGCTCTTTATGTTGTCTCCCAGTTTGAACGAAATGGATTTATAATTGCTCTGATCAACAGGGACAAGCATTGGCAACATGATGGATGTTGCGAACATACACTGTCACTCCCTCTCGCTCAAATTGTCATCATCCTTTTTTCTCTGCTCCCTTGTCTTTTCTCTGGTTTGCATGCAGCTTGCCCCAACGAGTTCCCTTGTGCCTCTGGCATCTGCATCGCGAAAGAACTGCAGTGCGATGGCTGGAACGACTGTGGTGATATGAGCGACGAGAGGCAGTGCCGTAAGTTTCCCCCGTTGACCCAGCTGCACTCTTCTGTCTTTTCTCTCCTCTTCATTTATCCTTTTTCGTATATCCTCCTCTTTGCTCCGTTTTGAAAGGATTAGTTTGATATTTTGGCAAATGGTTTTACTTCCCTTCTTGCCAGGAGTTGGTGGTGAAGATCGATACCACTCTCATAACTGGCCCGTGAAACATAAAGCTACAGCCAGCAGCCAGTTGGCCAGCATAGCATTAAGACTTGAAACAGGGGTAAATGGCTAGCCTGGCTCTGTCCGAAGGCAAAATCTGAAGAGTAAAAACAAAGCGTTTGGGGTTTTTTGGCGGATGATGTACAATAACTATTTCCTGGCTGGTAGCAGTGATATTCTGGAGTTTTTATCTTTATTGTATGGTTGTCAGACTTGTAGTTTTTAGAGCTGATTTTGTTCCCTTCAAACAGAGCCAGGCTAACTGTTTCCAGTCTTTGTGCTAAGCTGGGCTAACTGGCTGTTGGCTGTAGCTTCATATTTATCCTAATTATCTGATTTACATGCAAGGATTTGTGTTTGTAAACATCCCCTCTTCAAATCAGTACATCTTCCTCAGTGACATTGTTTAATACATGGTGTTTCCATTACCTCAGACTGTGAGAAGGATCAGTTTGCTTGTGGGAACGGCTTGTGCAAACCGAGACTTTGGGTGTGTGATCGCGTCAATGACTGCGGAGACGGGAGCGACGAGAAACAATGCAGTAAGTATTCCCATCTTAAAGCGCTCTTTAGGGAACACAAACCCTATCTAATGCTATGCTAATTGTGCTAACATTAAAGGTGCATCACTGCTAATGCTTTGGTCACTGACTCCTGGGCTGTGTGCAGTCATTATTTTATCAGTAATGGAGTTTGTTTGAAGCCTAGCCCCAATTTGCTCCGCAGACGCTTAATCATGTGTAATACACGCAAGAAGAATGAAGACAGATGCTAATGTCCACCGTGGCTGCACCGCTAATGTCCTTTTGAAACTTATTGGCTTGTCTGCTCCTTATTCAAGTTTTCATCTTTATTCTATTATACTGTAAATTTCTCATCACTATGTTTCATTGCCTCCAGGTTGTGAGCAGAATGAGTGGCGCTGCGGTAACGGGGTTTGTCTGCCTCAGGATGTCGTGTGTGACAACAAGAAGGACTGTGAAGATGGAAGCGACGAGGCCTCTTGTAAAACCTGTAAGTAGCAGCACTTATTCTCTTCCCAGCATTTGGAAAAGGTCCTCACCACAGTGATTTATAAGCATGTTACACAAACCATTAAGTAATTAACCTTCATTCACAGCTCAGTAATGTTTTAGTTTGCACAAAGATGCTTCATTCTTAATTCAAAGTATTATTCACTGTCCACATGACTTTAGCTCTTTCTCTCATTTCCTCCTATTCCCTTCTTCACTCTTACTCAATTTCCCTTTCACTCACTCACTCGGTCACACACATACACATAGGGGACTCTTGCATTTCCTTTGATTTTCACTTCTGTGAATAAAGAGGGATATTAGACCTCAACCCCAATCAATACCCCCAATCAATGCAGTCTGCTCCTCAATCACTATGCATTGTGCATTCAAGTCTCACTTTGAAGCCTCACTGATTGCAGAGTATTTTACTGGTCTAGTATTTTCGTGGTATTTTACTGCTGTAACGCTTTGATTGAAATATGCTATGTGTTTTGATTTTGGGACCTGTCTCCGCCCCGCTGTAGCTCTGGGTATCTGTTCCGACTTCAGCTTCAAGTGTAATAACAAAGAATGTATCAACAAGGTGAATGCCGAATGTGACCGCGTCAACGACTGCTCCGATAACTCAGACGAGGCCATCTGTGGTAAGAAATGTTTTCTTTCCTCTTACAAAATTCAGCTTTTTAAATGTTTTAAAACATGTGAACAGTGGATATAATCTCTTCAGTGTCATTCAAATAGATTATAGAAGAGCTGGTTGAGCTGTGCGTTGGGCTGTCTGTTATAAAAGACCCCCAGGCTTTGACTGCTTTATTTATTTCATTCTTCTTTGAAAGCAGCTCTTGTCATCTCTGAAGTTTTTGTTTTTTCCTCTATTTAAGCCTCAGGGTGTGTCTGTGTTTTTTTTTCTCCCCTTTTTTTTTGTTTGATCTGCTAATATGCCACTGTGCCTTATTAGGATTCTAGAGAGTCATAATAGCATTCACAGCCAAGGCTGGCATCATGATGGCTTCAAGTCAACTTTAGGAGATTTTTCCCTCTGATCATTCATGCCAGTCTCACCTTGTATTCTGCACTCAACCCAGCCAACGTCCCTCCTCTCTCATTATATTCTCTGTAAAATGTCAGATTGTGGCACCAGGCCCTATAAGCTGAACCGCATCGTAGGAGGGCAGAACGCTGAGCTGGGGGAGTGGCCCTGGCAGGTCAGCCTTCACTTTCTGACCTATGGACACGTTTGCGGCGCCTCAATCATATCTGAGAGGTGGCTCCTTTCGGCCTCCCACTGTTTTGTCACCAGCAGCCCACAGTAAGTCATAGTTCAAACATCCATAGCATACATGGACACATACACATGTACAGAGCAGGACTATACTGTGTATCACATGTAACACATTCCCTCTAATATATTTTGGTGCATAAACAGTTATTGTTTCCCTTCATATTTTATTATTCATCACATTATTTAAAATTTTATTAGATCTCATTATGCAATATTCTCATACACATTCTGCAGGAAAAAAAGTAGAACTGTGCACAACAGAGGGCCATTTATATACAAATTGCAAAGTCTGAAAATTAGCCCCTGATGATGCAGTTAATTCAGAAAAACCTTGGGGGGGCTAAATTTACATCTCATCCATGAAAGCATGGAGCTGTATTTGTCGGAGTGCCCTGTAGGTGGAGCACTAACCATGCTGTTAGACCCAAGCCGCCTCCATTGTTATTGAGCAGGGAATGTGTTTTTTTTTCACAGATTCACAGTTGGTGATATTTGCTATACACAATGCTGTTATTTAATTTGTAAGCATTTTCCAGATTACTTATTCAAGCCACTGTAAAGGCTTTCTTTACAGCCATATATCACCATAAGTAGTATGTAATTTTTCTTGTTTGTATAGGGGTGGCAACTGTATCATGAAAATGTAATGCAATCCAATACAATAATGCTGTGGCAAGTACTACCTTTGTAACTTAAAATGTTCAGTTTTTGAGACTGTTAGAGAGGATGTCATTTGTGGTGATATTATACTGATTTGCTTTATGTTGAAAGCTGCTCTTGTAATTTTGTTGAACTGACACTGTGTCAACAGAAAGTGTAACCCTACAGTAGTATAAGTTGCAGGGCTTGTGTTGGATTGTATTAGCCTGCACACATGTTCCTGATATTGCATCCCCCCCATCCTGGGTCACGCATGTACAGAAACATAACCTTTGCCCCATGATGCTATACACACTACCACAGGAATTATATCGCATCCAACTGGCAAACCTACAGTGGCATGCAGGACCAGTACAAGCAGGATAACGTGCGCCGCCCAGTGAAGAGGATCATCTCCCACCCGGATTACAACCAGATGACCTTTGACTATGACATTGCGCTGCTGGAGCTCAGTGAGCCGCTGGAGTTCACCAACACCATCCAACCCATCTGCCTACCCTCTTCCTCCCACGTCTTCCCTGCAGGCATGTCCTGCTGGGTCACAGGCTGGGGCGCGCTCCGAGAAGGAGGTATTATGCAGAAATTGGTGATTCTGTGTAGAACTGTAGTCATTTTTTCTTTTGCATTGTAACTGATTATTATACTAATTTTGAATATTTATGCTGTTATTCCTCAATTATGGGTGACCCACTCTACAATTGTGTTTTCCTTTTTGCAAATCCAACTCACATCAAAATTAAGACAGCCCACTCCTCCCCCAACCTTCTCACAATTAGCTATTCATCTCTGTCCTTCATCTTCTTTCCGTGCCTGCCTACTTCTTCTTCATCTCTCTCATTTCATCTGGTCTTCTTCTTTTCCTTTAATGTCCCTCCCATTTCTTTATCTCTCCCATCATGACATACTTCTCTTCCGCTCAACCCTCCCTCCCTTTTCTCTCATCTTTTTCTAATCTGCTCTATTCCATTAAGCCTTCTTCCATATCCATATATCAAGGCAGACGTCGGCTCTCCTGGGAAGCCTCTTAAACCTTCATTAGCTAACACTAATCCAGCCCATTAACACCTTTGATGTTAGTGACGAACAAAGAGGTCACATGGCGGCACTGACCCCTTTGTCCTGCTCTTGCAGGTCAAAAATCACAAATATTGCAGAAGGCATCGGTGAAAATCATCAATGACTCTGTGTGTAACATGGTCACAGAAGGCCAACTCACCTCCAGGATGCTCTGCAGTGGATTCTTGGCTGGAGGAATTGACGCATGCCAGGTGAGACCATGTAACATGTTCCCCAGCCAAAGGGCTGTTATATATAGGTTCTCACATCCATATAATTATCATGTATCTCACATTCAAACCCAATCTAATAACCGTTCTCCACTTGACCATCCTCACCAGGGAGACTCCGGAGGCCCCCTGGTGTGTTTCGAGGAAAGTGGGAAGTGGTTCCAGGCCGGCATTGTGAGCTGGGGTGAGGGCTGTGCTCGTCGGAACAAGCCCGGTGTCTACACACGCGTCACCAAGCTAAGAGACTGGATCAAGGATGAGACAGGGATTTGATGAGGTTGTGAGGAACAGGGAGGGATACAGAGCGGGGAACAACGTCAACGTGCTAAAAATAATGGAGATGGAACATTTGAGTCCAAATCAGGACAAGTCTCTTCAGGATTTATTCATTTAGCAGCAGACTGAGGATACTGTTGCATGGACCTAGCTACTCACATGAATGACTTAAAGCACTTTATTTGGCTGACAACCCCCTTTTCCCCCACTCTTCTCACACACACACACACACACACACACACACACACACACACACACACACACACACACACACACACACACACTGATACCCAAACCACACCAAGTCTTATTTTGAATAGTTTTTAAAGGCGTAAATCAGCACAGTGTCTTTACTTCCATCAATATTGTCACGTTTCACTGGTGAATATACCCTGAGTACAAATAATGAAATATGGATATTATGGTGATTATTTTCCCAATATCTCACCAATGCAACTTTTTAAGATTGAGGCACAATATGAACATTTTAGACAGTTGTCCAAGTGTTTCTAAACAAAATATGCCTCTCCAAAAAGTAATTGTGTTTTTAAGCCTTAGTATTGTCTATTTCCTAACAGGGGAGATGTCTTCATCCACTTGGGCTGCATTGAATATTGCGCTTTGCCAGTGGGCTCACGCTGTAGCTAACTATAAATCTGGGGTTATATTTATCAAATATCTTAAAAGACCATAACAATATTTTTTGCATATTTGCTACAAAACACCCATACATTACTGCAGATGATTTTCCAGAGCAATTTCAATTGATTAAAGCATTTTTATCTACCTATCTGCAGCAATTAGCCTCAGTTTTTATCAGTAAAGTGTAAACATAAACCTGTAGAGACATTTGCATTACAATCTGACGGTAACGGAAGACAAAAGAACAAAAACAAGAGAGTGATTAGAAAAAAAGACTGCCCAAATCTATGCAGGGGCATTTTCATATCATATTAAAATGAATGAAAACCAGAAGCTGCCTGGAAGGTAGAAAATGCATTAATCAATCTAAAAGCCCATGGTTTGCTTTGGAAAATGGCCAGCAGAAATGTTAAGTATACCAGATTTGTAGTCAGTGGGCTAAAACAGGCAAAAAGACTATCATGGTCCCTGAAGAATGTTGATGTGAAACTGGAGTGAAGTTGTTATGATTTGTTTTTGATCTGGCGGGGGGTCCTACATAAGTATTTTTATTCCATATTTACAGATGCTTACTGGCCTTGCCTGGCCTGAGAATGATATGCCAAACTGTGATATTATGAGCAGAGGATGAGGATTAGATCCAGTTGGCTTTTGCACAGGTCTCCAGTTAAGCTCAGGGTGATTGGGGTCTTCAGTCACACACACCTTAGAGTCAAAGCAAACCACTGGGGTTTTCACTAGTTGCCAGAGCAATGCAATGAGTTCTAATCCCTATGAGACTTTTCTTTCTATTTGGTCACAACCAACTCAATCAACTTCAATCTTAAGATTTAACCAAATGGTTTCTTTTACTCTATTTTACTCTATTTCCCTTGTATCTCTGAGTTTTGAAATATTGTATCCTGAATAAGCACACCAAAGATTTGCATAAGTATTATTTATTGAAGGGGGGAAATTTTAAGAAGAATAATTTGTTCAGGATATTGTTCAGAGGACATTTTTTATTAATTTTATAGAGGTTTACAGTTAAACTATGCAAGTATAAATGTGTATTTCTCAGACAGTAGGGAGAAGCAACAAGTTTTAGATAGACGTTATCTTTATTGTACTCTGATTTGGACTGACTGACTGATTTGGATTATGGACATACTTTATAACCTTTCTTTTTTTGTGTGTGTTTGTATATGTTTTTATATGAGTCATGATAATAAACATCTTTTATCTGATTCCTCAGTACCTAATTGCATTACCTGTATTATTTGTCTTTGATGAGGTGTCGTTTTGTATTATGTCGTGCATAATAAATGCGAGTCTTGTGAGACCTTGTCCCTTCTCACAGTAGAATTGTAATGAGCATGTACTTCTCCTCCCCGCCGTGAGCAGCATGCCTACCTGGGGAACAGAGGTGACAAGATGAACTCATATTGTCAAATAATACCTACCTTTGTCACAGCTCTATTCTATTACCCTATGAGATGGGCATGTCGACTTCAGGAGGTGGATACACATACAGTGGGGGTTCTACTATCTCATCTGTCTTCATTAAAAGCCGCGTACCACTGGGGGAATAGGAAAATCAACATAGACAGTGCTGCTAATTTATGTATTCATCATTGTTGCAACATGGAAAGCTTTGTTTGTCACTGTTCCCCATGCCCAATGAAGCTGCTCACCAGACTGATTAACTCTCAGGATTCACACCAGCCAGTTCTTTATCGGAAATGGTTTTATTTAAATATAAATATGTGTACAAAGGTACAAGCAACAACAGCTAATTTTTAGCAAATAAAATTCTTAATACATTATTAAAAGAATGAACAAACAAATGGCAATTAGTTGTGTTCCAAAACAGCATAGTAACTGCATTCAATGATTGATCAACAACTTAGACAAGAAAATCTGTGGACCCAAATAAATGAACCAAGATAGATACATATGTATATAAAGATACTTTACAATTGAGCAGCTTACACGCTGTACATTAAGGCTTATATAAAATATAAAAATAAAGACAAGCGATGATGTTTGCCTCCTCACTTTAAGTGATGTCTGTTCTCTCATCAGGCTGCCTGGTAACAGCTTTTTAGACAAATGGCAGTACAGGTGTCCATACTGAAACATCCAGGAATTGGAATGCAACCGGGCCAGGTGAAGAATGTCTCAAACATGAAATGGACATGAATATAAACGCTGAAGATTTTCACTAGACACATCATTTGCATGCAACAGAGAGAAAGTATGGGCTCAGCCATTGTACAGATACTTAGTGTTTCAGGGTAGTACTGTTTCTTGTAAACATATTGAGACAATTTGATTGAGTTGTAAAACTTGAGTGTATGGTCCACATTAGGACTGCCTTACACGTCTTTCCCCACCTGAGCCTGCTGAAGTTGACGCTGCATTCAAGTTTATTTCAAGTTCAAGATTGCCACCATTCCAAACCACCACTTTTGATTGTTCTGGTAATAGCCTACTCCTCATTACAATCAGAAAACAGTACCAGGGGTAAGACATTAGAATTCAGCCTCAGCCCCTGTTTTCCCCCTATAAAATTATCACCATCTTTGGGTTTTCATGGCCTTACCTTGTCCATCTTGGTACAACACACAGATAACATTTAGTCCCCCATTACAATGGAGGCTAAAATACACATTCTCTTCATATCTCGTTCTTTTATTTACCAGTACGCAACACTACTAAGTCCAACATGTTAGAGTTGTTATCAGAAGAAGCTCCAGGAATACAGCTCAGGCCAGAAGTATTCCACCGCTGATTAGACTCTTCATACAGTACAGTGCCTGTAGCACTTGTCGGTCAGTAGAGCTAGCCTGTTGTGCAGAATATAGTTTATGTCTGTCTCTGTGGATAGCTCAGTCTTTTGTTGATGATAGAGACACAAATGTGCTTAGAATTCCTTTCGCATGCCAACAAAACACCAAATGACAGACAACAATAGGTTGCTCATATCTGTTTTTTTCCTCAAATATGTCTTAGCTTGTCACATCTTCTTTCAAAGGATTTTAGAGGTCATGTTTGACATTTAGTGTTGACACAAAGTAAACTCTGGAAGGCAGGTAAACAGCTACCCCAGTCATTTTGGCCACCCAAATTCAGGAGATGAAATTGATTTATTTTCTAGTTGGCCCTTGCACTGACACAATATCTCCATAGTTTTGGGTGGTCATCATGTAGAGATAACCTGGTGAGGTATCACACTGTAATCATAAGTTTGACTTGAACATCACAATCTGCTGAATTATCCAGCCCAGGAGCTCCACAGTTAGCACTGTTGTAGATCCCTCAAACCATCACAACAAAGATTGGTTATCCCATAACCTAAATCACATCACTCCCTCCAAATACTGTCCAAACACATCCTTGAAGGACCGTCCAAGTAAAGAAAGTCTCTGTTCATGTTAGTCCAACCACACATGTATGTGGAGGTGACAATGGTTATCTATTCACTGCTCCTGTACTCTTCCTTTTTTTCCCAATTTCTTTGTCCAATCAAACATGCGTCTGCATACGTTGTGAGGGCCGGCCATAGTCAGACTGCTGGGAGGACACTTGTGAGGAGGCATAAGAGAAGCGAGACGAGCTGGACACCTTGCTGGCCTGATCTGATTGGTCATACGCATCCACCTTCTCATAGGAAGCAGGCTTAACATAGCTGGTGAAGGCGCGACCATAGGTAGCAGGTAGATAAGCAGAGCCACTGTAGACAGGATCAGTGGGATAAATGCTGGCTGGTTGGGCCGGCTGCTGTTGTGCAGCTTGCTGCTGTTCGTATGCGGTTCTGCCCGCTGTGGTGGTTGCGTATCGTTGGGAGAAGTCATAGATACGAGGCTGGGTGCCATGCTGACCGTACATGGGGCTGGGAGAGGGCAGCTGCGATGGAGTGTAGACCGGTCGAGAGTTGGGCACATATTCAGAGAATCCACTGCTGCGGATGTGGCGTTCTTCATGGCCACGGACATTGTAGTACCCATTGGTGGGGTCCTATGAGAAGGAGAGAGAAAATTAAATCATGAACTTTGCATAGTTCAGTATTATGTATAATAGATGAAAATAATGCATTCTTGCTGTTTTGGTTGTTCAAGAAAGTATTTTCAGTTTTACCTTGATGTCCGATCTCTCATCCTCCTCCTCTTCTAGGAGGTCACTGTGTTCTGTGCGTGACGTCCCAGGAGACTCACTGCTGTTTGGAGCCTGAGGAAAGACCAAGCATTTTTGAAGAATTATTAGGTTTTTGAATAAGAACAAAACAAACCCGAGTATTTCATTACAGTGTTAATGTGAATTTTCCCTAACCCCCCATAGACATATCTGGCATACAGAGACAGTGAACAAAGGAATTTACCATGGGCTCTTTGACATCTTCCTCATCATCATTGCCTCGTGTAGCATTGTGATCACTGTGAACAATCTGAACTCTGATGTCACTCTTGGAAAGACGAGTGCACCTTTTACCTATTGGGATTGAAAAAAAGAAGGGCTTTACTTTTACATAAAAAATGTATATCAAACATTCTGTTAAAAGTGTGAAACTGCACAAAAATTGAACAAAAACTGTTCAATTTTCAGCTCATGAATGAAAAAAAACTTAAATTTTAAAATAATTTTTGATCTGAAGAATTGGCTGTTGACCCTTTTGCCCATACTAACCATTGAGCTCACCTTTGCCTGTGTGCCTGCAGCAGAGGGAGACTAGAGTGATAACACAGATGAGCAGGACACAGCCTCCACCTACTGCTCCGCCAACAATTATCAACATAGGCAGGGCTTCTGTAACAAGAACAGTAAGAGAAGAAAAGTGTGCCATAAGGGGTGGGGGAAGATGGTTGTCAAGAGACAGGAAAGGATGAAAAGAGAGATTGTAGAGCATAAGCGTCAGTGTCAAGAACATGCAGATCAGAGCAACAGAAAGAAAGAGATCCATTCATTTATCTTGCTAATCCCAGAAACGTCAGCGCCTATATAAATTCATCTGCAGTAAGCCCTGCCCTGCTCACAGCTAGCGTATGCTCATTCGGGCAATCCAGCAACCCGCAGCCTGGCTATTGTCTCTAATCTCTCTGAAAGAAGGGTAACAAGGCCTGACATGCAATGAAGCAACAGACAGTAATCTAATTAGAGATTCCAGGAGATACCGCTGCCCATTTCTCTGGAGACCCCACTCTGCTACGTTGATGTAAATTACTGCCGAGGACCTTATTTTTGGTGTCTGCTGCAACAAAGGGCTTCCACTAGCATCAGTGTAGTAGTACGACTGCCTAATTTTAAGATCACTTAAAGGGTCTGCAGCTTGAGATGTTGAACTTGGCTCTGAGGCAGTGATAGAGAATATGATACCAACAGCAAACACATGTGGCTTCCTCTAATTGACTTTTTGTCCCCAATCAATATCTATGTTATGGGGCAAACATATTCATTAAAGGAACCATCTGCTGATTAAATCATATTGATTAGAGGAGTATAATTAAGATAAGCACAAGACAAGAGCACTGCTTCCACCTATTCTGGCCCCCTTTCACAGCAAGGATTGAGAGTATCACTATAACTTCTGTAGAGGGCTCTGGTGGGGATTATAACTCTTGTCAGTGTGTACCTTGCTCCTTCAGCATGACCAGGGCGGTGCCAGTGCCGAAGCGGTTCCAAGCAGTGCAGTTGTAGCGCAGCTGGAAATCCTGTGCCAGCGTCTCGGACAGCACCAGAGAAGACAGGACCCCATGGTCGCTGGTTACCGTCTGCACAGAGTAACGACCGGAGGAACCGGAGGACAGGCTCATGTCTCCAAAGGTCCACACCTGTTGAGAGGAGCAAGAGAAAAGACAACGGGGAGTAAGAAACCTTTCTATGAAGGATTCCTCACCGGTGAGCAAAGCAGAGGCCTGCACGGCTATATATCCTTAGATCCCTGCCTACCGCTGACTGAACACCAGTTTCTCTCTCTGTTCTGCTTTCTCTCTGCCGACCTCTAAGGTGCTCCGTAGCTGACACAGCTCACAGGCTCATGTTTAAGCTGCCTCCCACGTCTGCCCTGCAGGTGAGGCCTAAGGAGGGTTAGGTAGCTGCACTATGAAATAAGGCTCCTCTCTGCTGTCTCTAGCGCAAGGCCAGCAGGGCACCTGTCTCTCACTCCTCCTCACACCCTAATTATCCTCTCTCAGTCCAGCGTACGTTCAGCAGTTCAACAGGGTCAGCTGAGTGATGCCTCTTGGGCCACTAATTGAATG